AGCCGGTGCGTGGAGCCCGGGCGCCCCGCGGGTTTACCTGGCGGCCGGCGGTAAGCGGGCACCGGGGGCTCCGCGCCGAGGAGGACACCGGGCAGAGCGGCTGGAGGGGAGATCGGCGCTTACTTCAAGAAGTCCAGCTCCTGGCTTGAGGGACCTGCAAGTGACAGAAACGGGGCTTTTACTGGGCTTGATCTGCATACAATGAGAGTAGGAAAGGGAAGGAGGGCTTTCTCCAGACATTGTTTTAAAACACCTACTTCTTCCCAGGCTGGAAAACCCACCCAGCGAGTTTAAGGCTACAGCTGGAGCGAGCAGCACCCTGCAGGGAGATAACCCGAACACCACATGAGCGAGAGAAACTTCAGAGTTTCTGCTCTTCTCCACTGAACTGTCGTTGCCACCACCAGCAAGGAGACCCTCTGCGTTACTGCTCTGGAAGCATTCAAGAGTTCTCAGTAAAGATGTTAAGTATTTTACAGAAATTGCACATTTCCCACCGAGTAGGTCTTTGTGGATCCCACCAGTTTGCACACAGGCGTTTCCTGCCCCGTGGTGCCGTGCCCCTTGGGGCCACACATGTCCCCAGCCATCTCCTGCTCCTCCGCAGGAACCGACTTGGGGAACAGCCGTGATTCATCTCACAGCAATTCTGAAGGGGGGAGAGACCCTCTCAAGAATTTGAACCCACTGCTCTTTGTGGATATCTTCTGCTTTTGTTGTTGTTTTTTTTTTTTAATTTCTATTTTGCAACTTTACATTTTAGCAAGTAATTTATCTACATGTTCCTATTGGTCGGATGTTACACACAGGAAACACCACCAGTGTGACTCCACACTTCCCACCAACCCCATGGCAAACCCCAGTCTATGAAAAACTAATTCATTTCAACAGCAGCCAGGCCAGACCCCTCTGCTGCAGCTCAAATGCTTGTGCCACACAACAAGAAGTTTGATTTCAGGATCCCCAGCCCCAGAGATGCTTTCCTCACCCCCCCATTTGCCAGAAGCGTATGCACATTACTTTGACCCACAGGAAACTGGCTTCCCCAGCCTTTCTCTGGCAGCAAGAGCATCAACGATGCTTTCAGGTTTTTTGGTGTATTAGGACGGTAGGAAAGAAGTAGCAGAACTGGCACACCAGGCACTTCAGCACCAACCTCGAAACCTATGAGCATCTAAGCATTGAAAATTTAGCACTGGCAGCAGCATCTGGCACCGGTGCTGCCCTCCCCTCCCCTCTTACCCAGGTGGGAAGGCAGGATGGTACAGGGGCTGCCTCAGCCACACTGCTGTGAATTATGGAATGGAGCTGGGGCCAGAGCGCTGCTCCAAACACAATGGGAGGATCCTGCAGGGAGGAAAAAAAAAACAAAGTAATTTTTCCCAGGAAGTTACAGAAAAGGCTACAGTAATCTACCACACAGTAATAGGCAATGTTTTTAAGGACCACATACATTGAGTAGCCAAGTCAAGAGAAAAAGCAAAAGTGGGAGACCATGAGAAATGTAGGAGCCTCATCAAAACATGCTGCAATAATGATAAATTTAGAAACGCCGCCTACCTACATGAGGTTTGCCAGAGCTTTTTGAAAAACGCTGACACTAGAATTGAGCACTGTTCATGTAATGGTCTCACTGTTGCCCTGTATAACAGGTAGCGTTTCTTTACTCCCAGCTGATACAACCCAAAATGTTATGCTATGGGATTGTATTTGAACTCGAGGGGGAAATGTCACACTGCAGCAACCCTGTGTGCCAGGATCTGCTGCGTCTGTTCAGCGTCGTTCCTTTCCAGGGTAGTGTTTCCTATATTGTAAGAGGCTGCCTCTCATCTTTGGCCCAGATCCCCAAAGACATCCAAATGACTCCCGCCCACTGAAATCAATGAAAGCTGGGAATCAAAATGCTTTCAAGGAGCAGGAATGCAGTTTCTAAATGCAATTTTGTTCCTGAGTACATTTAAAAACAAAGTTGTTGCAGTCAGCTCCCTTTATTAAACTGTCAGTCTGGTTTCTTCCAATAGTCCCATCCTCAACACATCATCTTACAACTTTCCCGAGTCACAGATGTTAATCAGCATGTCTTGGAGGGACCCCAGAAACGCTTCACTGGATGCCTCTTTTCCCAGTTATAAGTCTTTGATTTTTGCAGCTCATCAGTTTTAAGATTATTTGATGTAGACAATGTTGATTTTCTTTTAAACCAGAAAGTCACAGAAAAACCCAAAGCAAATGTCCAAGTGCTTTCAGAGGGCTGGCTGATAACAGTGCCCTGACAAGCTTCTAGTGTTTCTTAGAAACTACTTTTTTCCATAAAAGCATTCTGATACCACTACCAAAACCACCACAACACTGGTTCCTTCCCTCGCCAGCCATTCCACTTTGGATAGCATATCAGGTCCCCATTGTCACCTCCTGATTTCCTCTGTGCAGTCGGGAATTCTGCAGTGTTTCAAGATGTTAGAAATCAATATCAACACCTCCCAGAGCAACCAAGCCAGTTCCTCTATTACTTTTGCATGCTCATTTCTCACTTCTGCACAAGTAAATGTGTTTATAATGAGCAGCTGCTGTTTTATGTCCTATTTAGCAGTTGGACAGGGTAGCTTTCATTACTATAGTAAGATCTGAATAGGTCTGTTGTCTGTCTTTTGAATTAAGAAATTAATTGGTTTTCTATTATTTTTATGCTATTGTCCCTGTCAAGTATCAGAGCTGCAGTGTTCTTCAGACCATATTTTTTCTGGTGTATATTCAATGTGTATTGTCCTTGCCTGTAGATATTTCTACTTACGCCCTCCCTTGCAAATGGCCAACAATGACAGAAAAGGAATACAGTAAGCATTTATATTTTTACTTTGTTTTTATAATATATAGGGGGGATAGTACAAGAGGGTGCTAACTTCCTTTCCCTTCTTAGTCACTCATGAAGGAAAAAACAGCATTACCACAACTGCTGTGGCCAGATACACTTTGAGAAGGGACTACATGAAGAGGTCTGCTGAAACTACCTGGAAACAAAGCACGTTCTGGCAGCCTCAGCAGCCACGGGGAAGGTCCTGTCACACGCCTGGAGCCTGCTGCTGGCTCAGGCTGTGAGCTGAAAGAAGTCCAGTACTACAAGGAAAGAAATTAAGTTTTCTGATTCTCCTGTGTACAGCCAAGAAGGGCTTTTTCATTCCTAAAAAGCAGAGTTGCAGTAACATGCTGGACATGATCTCCTAATCGAACAAGCCAAACTCCTGAAATTTGGGCAGCTGAAAAGTGGCACTATGAGACTATTTGCACTTCCCAGACTTAGCAACTGAGCTAAAGTAGTAAACTCTAGAACCACTGCGTAGAATAAAACTTTGAAATGCTTCTTTCAAAGAGATGAGAGCAAAGTCAATAAAAACTTCATACTTGAGACCTCTAATGAAACTCACCCTTCTCTTTGCTGATACTGCATGAGCCACAGTCTGCTTGGGCACGTCAGGGATGCCACTGTAAACACAGAACAGACTCATCTATAATGACTATAATCAAAACCAGCCTGGCACCCTGGTAAGTAGCAAGACAGCAGAAACATCATACCTCCGTATTGAGGCTTCGGTGTGAAGGACTGAAAATGATCATCAGTTTGTCTACAACAGGACCTGGAAGATTTATTTTTTTTAAATAGAAAAAAATATTTCTGTCTTTAAGAAAGAAATTTCTCTCTACCATTTTGGAACTCTTCTCCATTGAGAAGGGATATAGGCAAGGTTACTTGAAGTCCTTTGAAAACTAGCAAATCCTTCAGCATTCAAGACAGATATATATAAATAAAATTCCATGTGTGTATATACATGCAATTATTTCTCTCACATTGGCCAATATTAAATATTTTTTAGCAATTTTAAAATCAACACTGAAAAGAAAAAGCAGCTAGATTTTCTGAAGAGAGAGTCCTTTAACAAAATTACACATGAAAAATTTTTGCTGGAAATGCCCATCACTAACAACTTAATGAAGGACGCTCCTCTGTGTCAAAGACTGAAACCTTCCCACAAACTCGTAGGAGTTCAAATTTTACCAAGGCTTGAGGAAAACAAGCTGAAGTCGAGGTAGATCTGTGCTCACAGGGAAATGCAAGCCCATATCCACAACACTGTTCAAATCCTGCCATATGCACTTCGGTCAGGAACGAAAGGATTTTCAGTCATTTCATGTCGAGAGTTGGACTAGTCTCCAAAAAAGGCACTGCCCAAACAGACTGTGGCTTTATTTCTCTAAATGCTATTCAGCATGACAGGCTATGAGATGGAGTTCAATCTAAATTTAAGCACTCTTTGTAGACTATTAATAGAAGAAAAACTGGTAGCATGAATCATCATGTGGGAGCTGCAGAGCAACAGCTATTTATTTTCTGTAATATATAGAAGTTACCTTTATACAATAAATGAACTGTTGGAGTTGCAAGGCCCTGCAGAAGAAGTCAGATGATTCTTCCTCACTTACACTATTCTCATTTTATTCTGAGGAGCAACGAGAGGGCAACGGTTATTTAACTTGACAAAATCCACATTGTGTATAACCAAGCTCTGTTGTCATAACATCAATTGGAGACAAAAAGTAGCTACTGACCCTGCTCCCCACCGCTCCCTGCGAGGGAATAGTGTGTGCTGAAAAAGGTGGTGCAACATGATGGAACTTCATAGGTTAAGTTAGTGTTTTAGTTAGTGGTTTTGCACCCTGTTCCAATGCCTGCATAACGTTTGTACCTCTGGCCAAGAGGAAAACTGCAGCATGCCTTCCCTTTGTCTCCTCCCTGCCGGGACCATAGTCCAGCTGCATTATTGTGAGGCCAGCCATTTTGGGGAAAGATTTTTCAGAAGGGCTGGATATCAAACAGCTCCCGAACTGCAGAAGTGCTGATGCTTGGCACCCCCCAGGATCATAATCTCCCATGTTGGGAGTTTCTTTCCCAAACGACAGCGCTGGTTATGTGCACCACAGGCCTTGCCCTGCGCTTCGCTCCGTCGCAGTCCATGGACTCTGAATGTGGCCCCCCAGAGACACTCAGCGTTAACTTGACACGCTGGCAGTTCGGTGCTCTGTGGGATATTTATTTTTGAAAAATATGATATTGTCAACAGCTCAGTGAAGTTGTCTCCAGACTGTTATGTCTCCTCCTCAAGTTTCTTTCATTTTTAAGAGCTTAACTTTTAGGCTTCTGGCATGAGGAAAGAGCCTAAAATGGTTTAAGAAAAGGAAGAATAAAGAAGGGAGGGAGCTATGCACAGCACTGGAGAGAAGCACAACTATTTCCCCACACTATATAATCAATGCAAACTTCTAGCCCCAAAAATATTGTGATAAGACACTACTGTGTTCAGCCCTCTTTTCATAATGAGATTAAGGAGGTTCCAAAGAATTAGAAATCCTGAAGGACAAAGAACATCTAAGAAAAGTCAACATCATAGCTTTCAAACAGGGCATTTCATATACAGAAATTCAGTACTACAGAGTTCAGTTAAACCATGGTGAGAGAGGGAAATGGCAGACATAAAGACTAGTAAAAACTTTAATTTGGATTAGTATTGATGGCATCAGTCCCTTATCTAATTTTTTTTTAATTTATAGAGAAAATATTTTCTAAACAATGACACATGGGAGAAGTTTCAAAGTAACTTTTCTAATATAAATGAAGACAGTAAAACCCATTTAATTAGACATAAATGATGTTCTAATCTTGAGCTGCCAGGAATAGAAACCCAAACTAGCTAACTTCTCCATTCAAGGTGTTGGGTTGCACCATCAAACAGCAATTCCTATAGAAGGCATGGGAGCTTTCCACAATACCATCACTACTTTTTGAACAATTCAATCTAGAATTCTGTACCTCACTCAGTCTTTAGTATTGAGGATGCAAAAGAAACTATAGCAGTTTCAGAAACAAGGAGAACATAAATGCTGGGCCCAAAAAAAGGTAGTGCTGACACCACCCTTCCCAAGAAAAAACACTCAGTGAGGGAGTTAAGAAAGGGTGAACAATGTGAACAATTTTTTGAAAAAGAAAAAAAAGGTCTTAACAGTAGCTGCTGGCTATTAATAACTTCCCATCTGGAGAAGGGCGTTAACTTTTTGTGATAAGTTAGTGTCTCTGTTTTAAAAGAATTTTGCGTGGGAAGAACTTACATCTTCTGGAGCCCCTCTTGTCCATGCACTTTGTGGAACAACACACAGCTCTTGGCAACATACGTGATATAATCCAAGTCTCTTCGGTTGATCAAAGCAATTGTGAAACCCTTTATGAAAAGAATTTTAGCTGAAATGCTGTAATGCTAACCTAGTTCCTATAGAGGATTTAACAGCAGAACAACCGTGACTCCAATTTAAGCTTTTGTGATTTAACACAATGGAATATTATATTGCTGTTGCTTCTGAGGTTTTAATTTTATTATTCCATATAGCTGCAGTTTTCATTACAGTAAGACCTTCAAAATGATTTAACTGGGAAAAAAAAAGTTACAGCTGTACAGATTGTGCAGACATTACTGTTTTAGCGTACCTCTGGCCTGAGCTGTCTCCGGTTCTCTGCTTCTGTCTTCACCTTCAGATTGTCAGTTGCAGGCACATAAGTCACTTCTACAAAGCTGTCATGCACTTGCTACAGAAAAGAAAAACATCTATTTCTGACATGAGTTTATTATACTACACTTCTAAAACATTTATTTTTAAAATAGTATGAAAACTGTATGAAAAAGTATGAAAACTGAAGATCCATGCTTAAAAACAGGATATAAATCCATTTTGAGAACTAAGAAGTGTCTTCTTAAACTGCTCAAATTCAGGGAGACTATTTCACCTCAAGAAAGGAGAAGCGAGACGTTTTCTTGCAGAATAATATTAGTGAGACAAACACCCTTCTGGATTGTCGAACAAAACACCCCAAAAAATCCAAAAAAAAAAGAGGTAATAAATAGAATTAAAATACCTATACTAATTTGTGCATTTAAAAACGACATTTAAAATAAATAGGAGCTCTATCCAAATCTCTGGAGCCAATTTATTCCAGAGCATTTGAAATTAAATCTCAAAAACAGTATTTGAAAACAGTTACCATCCAGGATGATTGAGACCAAATCAGATGTAAGGTGTTCTAATCTTCATTTTTAACTGGAAATTTTATTTTTAGGCATCTGTTTTAAATACTCTGAACTGTTATAGAGGTGAAGTCCCCAGTCCCTCCCCAGCCCAATTCCTTTAGGGACAGACGGGGGAGCGAGCACACGCACGTGCATTGCCTTCCTTGGGTTGGGTTAAGTAACGTTTAAATAATTCTAATCCTGCAATGTTATTACAGAAATTGCCTAAATTGAACATACTCTCTGCAATCTCCTTCTCCGTTACTCATATTCAAGACTAGGACAATACAGGCTAAGCAGATGCTTTAAATACATACCTCTTATCTAGGTTATTCACTATCTTATCATTTAAAACCCTTTGGGGGTAGATACTGTAAAGTATTCTGATATACCAAGAGAGACATGACTTCCAAACAAGCAGGAGGTTATGTGCATGCAAATAATTTGCACGCACTTCTCATCCAGAGTGTCTGAACCTCCACAAACTACTTCCTGTAACATTTACTCCTGAAAAACCACGGTGCCACAAAGAGCGTTAAAATATTCCCTTTTGTGGATGGTTCACTCAAGAAAACATAAACACACATTTTGCTTTTTGCAATTTTTATTTCAGGAATAATTAAGAAGAAAACATGGCAACATTGGCAAATTGAAGGCATACATACTAAATACTCATACAGAATACATTATGAAGAAAGTAAATGCCCAGATCTTTAGTGGTCCTTGCAAACTAAAAGCATATTGGTCCTCCAAAAGGTTTAGCTTAAAATATGCTTGCTGACCTTTTAAGTTCCAATGATTAACAGCTTGTGCCTTTCAAACCAGAGACAGGGTGAAATACAATTTGAACATACTTCCAAATTTTCCTCAAACTTGTATTTCTCCGCTCTAACCAGAAGCAAACAAAATGGTTTTTTCCTCCTTACCTTTTAAATGTATACACTAATACACCACCCTAAGTACTGAAAATGCAAGCACTTCTTGAAACATATTTTTATTAAGAACTCGCATATGTACATATATACACACATGCCATATATGTGTGTATATATATGTACATATATACATTTATGTAAAACCTCTCTATCTATGTAAAATGGCTATATATGTCAATGTGTGTGTGTAAACCATTTGAAAGGGTTCTGGAAAAGAGAAAAGAGCTTGTTGTCTATAACAAGAATTACTAAACCCATACATGTACTGTTAGGTCAGTCTAACAATTGTGTGTCGAGGGAGTATAAAACCAATACAAATCAGAAAAGCTGGATGGATGAGAAGAGCTTTTAAGAATCACTGTTTTTTACGTCATCTTTAAAGGCCATGGAAAATAAGCTTTAAATTAGCTATTTAAGAGATATTAGTACTGGCTGCAGTGTTATCTTGAGATAACAAGGTTAGTCCTTATCCAATACAGTGCCGTGAAGTTAGATTGAGACATCAATAAAATTCTGTTCTTTCATGAAGTCCAAAATTCATCACACTGTTCTGTCAATTCTGCCTCACACCTGAACCAAAAGTACCCTCATCCAAGAGTTGGAGGGTACCAATTAATGCCCTTCTGTATTTGATCTGGAGAGTTGTCCAGTAATAAATGAGATCACTGATTTATTTCATACACATTGAACAACTCTTGATCATTACTGACCTAAAGTGAACTTACAGTCTGGAGCCTAACTAGTCTATTCTTTGTTTAGTAGTGTTATACTTTCCGATAGATTACATACAGAAAAAAAAAAAAATTCTGTTCAAAAAAACCCTTCAGATACGTATAAAAGTGCTACTTAAAAAAAGTAAAATTGACGTTACAATATATGCAAAACCCAAAAGTTTCTAACAAACTGAAATGTTGTAAGTTACAAGGATTCACTACTTGAGTATGTTACGTGTACTTATGCCTTCTTGACTGAACTGATTCCCAAGTAATTATCCTAATTGAACACATGCAATAATTGGTAACCAGTAAAAAACCTCTGGAGAAATTTCAACAATGGGAAAAAAAAAGAAAGAAGAGCCTCTTTCTTCCCATTTGTTGAAATAGAGTTCAGAAACAAAAACTGACTATTCCATTATTGCAGATGCAGTCTCCTGTCAAAACAGGTCAGTTCATGAACTGTGGAACCAGGACTGCCAACGGCTCCTCTGCAGCAGGAAATGTCCACTGGGCTTCCTAACTACCATATAAATACACTAGTTACATGCCATTAAAATAAGACATTTATCACTAGGATGAGAATGCACATAATACGTTGCTACGCTGGGGCACAGTAAGTTTTAAGCCTTGACTTCCCCGAACAATTTGTTCATATTCTAGAACTCTATGCAAAATACAAAACCCTTAGAAAAGTGCAACAAAACTAGCTTCATGACATTTTTCTCTCGGTTTCCATAAATACAATCTCATAAAAATATTATTAAACAGAAGCATACCTCCCAGTGGTGAACAAACGTGCCAGATTTCAACTCTGAGTAAATGATTTTGGCTGAACTGAAAATCGGGGATTAAAATTAAACCAGCTTAATGGCATCAGGCTGCTGTAATATTGTGCCCAAAGTCTCCTCTACTCTTTCGCATCCACAAGTCCTGCTGGAACTGATGGGAACTTTACATGCAACTCTGTGGCAGACAGTGCCCTAAGGGTAAGGAATAGTCCAAGTAAAAGATAAGTGTTGGTTAGAAGGAAGTCATCTGGTATTCATAGGTTTTACTGAAGTTTCACTGTGAGGAAATAATCCTATTATCACAGAAAAAATTAATGTATGGAGGCGAGGACAGTGGCCTTCTCAAACTGAGTTCAAGGGTGTCACATCCCCAAAACTAGCAAGCACAAATACATAAAGAAAAAAAGACACTTGTGTCAACACTAACAGAAATCAGAACTGTACAAACCTTAAGGTTTTAAGTTATTTAGCAATAATTATCAAAAGCATACTTGCTACATATTCCAGATGCTTAACATCTTGGCTTTGATAACTACGAAGTGTACTGCACCACTGATACTGCAACCACAGGGAATACAACAGAAAAAACTTAGCTGAATGAAGGACTAGGAATGCTCACCAAGCCAGTCATTTAAAACCCGTCCAGCCACGCTCCTTTAAAAGCAGAAACACTATTAGAGATACCTTTCTAAATAAGGGCAATTAAATCTATTAAGAGATGTCTCTGAACCCTTAGCTTTTAAGAAGCTGATAATTTGGGGGAAGAACACCTGATGGACACCCCGGGGTGATGTATGCTACATGGGAGATAGGGAAGTCGTGGCAGCCCCAACACGTTTTGCTGATAACAGGCAGTAACCTGGGAAAGCGCGGTGGCGTGGCCGGAGCTCGTGGATGACAACTACACTTTGATACCACTTTTCACCAAATCATTTCTCAGACTGGTTAATATTACTGAGTATTCATATACTAATGCTAGCTTAAAGAAAGGAATTGCAGAAATAGAGCTTGGCAAAACATAAAAATAAAACAGAAATAAATATTTACCAAGCCAAAGAAAGGACCACAAACAAACTATATAGTTAAATCTGTCTGTACATGAACACTACTATTTTTAAATCCTCTTTCTTAGGCCACCTCAGCAAGACTATTACTCACAATAAGCAAAAAATAGTCTATAGGTGTGCAACTGGATTCCTTCCCAGAAGAATTCAGCTCCTTAATAGCTCCTGCTGCATGCAGGAGTTAAGCTGTGCCTGCATCAGTTGCAAGAGCCAAATAAGAAGTAAAGTCACCACTCGCGTCATATGAACAGTTTTAAAGGCTTAATGTTAGCCTTTCCATAGCTTCAGGCCTGTCAGCCAGAGGGGGCAGCTTTGGAAGATAGTGTCACATATCACCTGAAAACCAGACAGCGTTCCCAAGCCAGTCACAAGCAGAACACAGAAAGTAAGAAAAACACCCAGAAGTTCCCCATATCTCCAACTTCCCAAATAATCTTGTTTAAAACTAGGTTATAATAATATTTGTACCCTGTTCCAAAATCATACAGAAAGAGAGAACTGAATAAATGGAGTTTTCTGGTGATGCAAAAGATGCAACAGAATCTAAATGTCTGGAGTGTTTAGTCAGGGAACTGAAAAAAAAATACAAGAACTTAACAATGAGATCATTAACAGAAATTAGATGCCAATGTGACCTTTTTGTCACAGCTACAAAATTCTTAAGGCAGATCCTCAGCAGTTAAACCACCGTACTGCATCGTTAGAGCAAGGGGTAAACTTATTTTTCCTTATGCTTGTAAAACCAGAGTTATCACTGCTGCCAGTGCTATTAATATGAGTTTACACCAATACATCAAAGCAGAGTTCATTTAGCTTTGGCAAATCAAGGGGCCCCTAAAGCGTGATGATGGACTGTACAGAAAAACAAACAGTGGAAATATTTTACAAAACTGCAGGCAAAAAATGATCAGAAATGCTACATGTAACCTGAAGAATATATTTTATGCAAAGAGACAAAAAATTACTTTTACATCAGAATATGCTGTAATTAAATACTATATTCTGGATTACCTATCCATAAACACAAAGTTGAAAGAGCAAATTTCACTTGTAATTTTTCAGAGGCATGAGAATGAGAGATCTTTGTGAGAGCCATTGAGATTCCCACCACAGATACTAAATGAGTGTTTCTAGTTAAATATACAGGACAACCAAATCACACTGGAACAAACAAAACCAACTGAAAACCAAATCAAGTGTAATCCATTCTGAAGTCACCTCACTTCTGTTATTGTCAGATACTCCATATCAAAACTTCTCTGTCAGGATTTTCCTGAATAATCAAGTCTTTCCTCCCATGGCTTCTCTTTTGGTAAAGAAAATCCCACAACTGTTCATTCTGTTCACTGATGATGATCTTGCATCAGAGTCCTTCTGATGCAAACTAGCAAAACCAAACACATATCTGGCTCTAAACCGACCTCTCTAATCCATGGAATTGTTTCAGTAAGCAGGATCCAGAAGATGAGACAGCTGTATCTGCATCAATAAGTTCGACAGCTCCATTCTGTTCCCCCCCCCCCAAGCTGGCAGCGAGTAACCCTGAAATACTACAGCAGAGGCATTTGCAAGGCACATATTAAAATGCAATAATACAAATTTGATGATAAAATATTTGTCCTTTTTTAGTACATTCAGAAATATTTTCTGGATTAAAAAGAAAGGAAAGTAAATCAGCATAAACTCATACTTCATATGTACAAAAACCCAGGCTGTTTCGGGATCAACTCTGAGTAGGAACCAAACTGAACAGTATCAACCACGTCCAGAAGGGCTACAGCTATTCCACTTGAAAAATTTAATGCTATTTGAACCTTCAGAAAAAAAATGTTGTAGAGTGCAGCAGGGCATTATGTTTGCTTTAGACCTTCCATTGGGACAGCTGTGCAGCATCTTATACGTAAAGGCTCAGATATATCCATATAAAAAGAACACTCTTCATGGAGCCCAATACTCCTTTACAGATATGAATACAGAAGAGGGTCATCAGACAGATCACACCAGGAAGTTTACAGAGCTCTGAAGTTCAAAACAAGATCATTTTTATAATTACTAGTAATTTTACTCTCTCTCTCTGAAGACTAGCAGCTCATGTTTTTAACAGAAAATATGTGGAAAATGTCACTTCCCCTTTTACAAATGGTTATACTATTAGTGTTATTTCAGACTAATACAACATTCCAGGTAAATGAAGTTGACCACTGGACAGAAAAAAAAAAAAAGAGCCAAAAGCTCAAATTACCTTAACAAAACAGGTCATGAATGAATTTAGACCAAGATATGCTATTCTTTTTATTAGAAAAATATTATCTTAAAATCTAAGGCAATGAATAAGACAATCATAGCTAAGGATGTCTGTTCAGAGGATGAACAGAAGGTTATTTAAATACAAATTGGCAAAACCTGGAATTTAGTAGTAAGAGATGAAATGTGAGACAGAAATAATGCATATTTCCAACAGGAGTATTCTCATTGAAACTTATTTGAAGAAATGAAGCAAACAAAAAATTTTGAAGAAATATATGGGAAAGGAAATTGTAATTCAGACTTTTATTAAAACCTGCCAATGAAGATTTTTCACTTGAAGCCTCTCTTGCAACAATTGTCTTTAAATTATGTTGGTTCTTCAAATGCATCAATTAATAATCTGAGAGTATCTAGCTGCTTTTAGGGCTCTAAAGATCTGCAAGAATGAGAGAGACTGCTGCTCTGAAAACTTCTCCAAAGGCCCTCAGCATGGATTAAGTAGTTATTTTGCAAATTTTCCTAATTCTCACAGGCACATATCAGTGTAAGCATACATTTTTAGATAATGCTTGCTGCTAGAGACATGCTGAATTATTACTCTTCATGTGGGCTATGTTCTTCAGATGATAGGTTTTTGGATTTGGCAATAGTTTTGAGTTAAATCTGTGCTTTTATACCATGATGAAGTTTCACAGATGCCAAGCACAGTTGCATTCACTGGGTTAACATCTATGACATTCAAACTGTCCTTAACAGTCATAAGAGCACCATAGAAATGGCAGATTCATTTTCTTTATAACAGGGTTACTGTGTTGAAAGAGCATGTGCTTATAAATAGCGGTTGTTACGGAACTCACTTCTAAAGTAGGCTTCTGCTTAATATTAATGAGAGATGCTCAACTGTGGCTTAACTGCTGATAAGTATTCAGAAAAAGAAGAGGCAGTAGCAATGACAGAATGAAGCCTTCCATTGCTTTGACAAACAATATTACAACAAACAGCTTACGACAAATGGATATATGAAATCATTCTGAGCCATTAACATTCTACACGAGGCCCTGAAGTGCCAGGATGTATCAATTCAATGATCGCTAAGGCACTTACTTGAACTCTTTTGCCCAAGGGCTGTTAAATGAATTCAGGTACATTTTAGGAAAATAGAAGTTGAGCAGACTAAAGTTTCTCAGTTCCTTCCTTGTGACAGTGAGTCATTTCCACGCAATATTCAAGACTACTGGGTGTATACACATTACATCAGTTCCTCCAGACTTCTTGTCAGAGAACGCCTCACCTTCTGTCAGTCAGATGAGGATGTGCAAGATCAATGAAAAACACACAGAAAACATGGCAAAGCTGGATTTTGAGACAAGCTACTTCATCGTTACATCTTATTGAAAATATCTTCTCTGCAGAGGAAATGCTATCCCAGTTCCAAAATTCTACCACAGAAATCCATGACGTATGCTCGTATTGCTGTAGAGTGAAGCCTGGGGCAGCTGTGCGTGCTATACAGGCAAAGGGGGAAGAGGGGAAAGAACAAGCCATACAAGGGTTGGTTATTGATTCATCTCTGTTATAATGGAAGCACAGGGAGATTGGACAGATTCCTTGAAGTATAGCGTACCCTGAAAACCAGGAGCTGTATGTGCTAGTCTTTACAATCCGTAAGATAAAGTTGGAAGCCACATCACTGTGACAGAGGTAGGCTTATAATGAAGCTTTAGAATGAAGAGTTCTTCTGTGCCAAAGTTTTCGAGGTATCGAGAGCACTTTTCCACTCATTTTGTCATTACGGAATAAAAGCTCGTTTTCCTAGAATATTGTGCATATTTTAAAGGAGGGGAAATAGCTGTAAAGGCATTAAGAACTCTACTGTATCGGGGTGTCAAATGCTGTGGGTAGAATATTCAGACTCTGTGGTATCAGGATGCTACAGAAAGTTCAGAAATATGATGCCATGTTATCCTTTTCTTCTCAAAGCTTTAGCTGTACATTCAGTCTCCTATATGCTAGAGGATCCATACATCTCCTAGGAAAGAAAGCTTCAGGAAGTCTGTCTGGAAAGGCAGCACATAAGTAGTCCAGGCTCTTTAGGCTACATAATTAATCTGAACAGTTTAATAACTTGGGTTATTCCAAGCACTGTGGCAACAAGTTCTTGCTTTGAAACAGTTGTTTCCAGGCTGAAGCAATCTGAGGCAATCCAGGGTAGTGTCACTGAAGTCTGAGGGGATTCAAATGTTGCCAGTTTTTAGTGAAATGAGGATTAGCATTTCAGTATGATTTCCATCTGGTAGCTCATGTCAGTTTTATCGCATGGATCTGTTGAATTACTAGGGTTTCAGGTTTCAAAGTATTTGTAAATTGCTGTAACATACAGCATGACATTCTGCCAGTCTGGACGCTCAGTTCGCACCATTTCATTGATGTCCTGTCACAGAAAACACATTGGTCAAAATCAGGCACAATAACACTGTGAGTAACGTGGTAGTGTTTTTACAAATTCCTGGGAACGGTAAATCTGTAAAGTTTCCACAATTTAAAGTATTGACGAAGAAAGCTCTGGTTTCTTCCATACATCTTTGGTTTACTTACAAAACGTAAACAGCTATGAACAGCTTCTCTGTAGAAAGTTACTTTCTTGACTCAAGATGGAAATGTGTAATGCTGTGATACCTGAGTTGTGCCCTGCTCATACAATTAGTACAGGAGGCAAGACTTCAGTGTTCACAGCCCCCTACACCAGCCTTGCAACTCAACGCAATCTACCCAGAGACTGTGAGGCACAGAATCAAGGCCCCGGAATTAGCTGAAATTAAAGTTAAAAAATTTCTATCGGGTAGGATCGATAAATAACTAAACCTCATTTTACAGTGGACTTCTGAACTTTAGATTACTTCATACATATTTTTGAGTAAAGAGACAAGGAAGAGGGACCTTTACTACCAAATTAGGGTATATCCAAGAGACAAAGCAATCAGTTTGTGTCTAACTGATAGACCTGTTCATGTGAATTTCATAATAACAGTCTACCAGATTGTCTGTGGAATAAGCCGGGTAAACAAAGTCTGATCTATCCCTTCCAGCACATGCACAAAGGAAAACAGAGTGATTTTTGTTTATTGTAAGGGTCTATTTTGTAAGCTTTGAGTTTAGAAACCTCCACAACTCAAAAAAGAGAAAGTAATTTTTTTCTTAGTTATTCACAGGAAATTAGCGAACACTTTCTTATTCAGGGAACAAATAACTTCCCCTTACATTAAATTACTGTATACATACAGCAGTTTTCACACCTTTTTCACCCTCCATCCATGTAATATGGGCAAGGGAAAAAACTCCACAAACATAACCTACATACACAGTGTGTATGATGTGAAGTAAAGAGACATTAATCCTTAAGATGGATACAATTTGTGCTTAGAAGATTTAATTCCATTCAATTTTCCTTTTTAGCTTATCTGTAACTAAGTACATTACAAAAAGAAAGGACAGAGAGCAACCATTTAGACTAAAGCTGAATTATGCAAGAATTACCACAGTTATTTTCCACAATCTAGTCTTTACATCAGCGCTTGGTAAGAAATTTCCATGTTTCAAATCACTAACAAAGTCAAAGTACTAAAGCCCAACAATTGCGCTGCCCATTGTCACCAAACACAATGCTGGGGAATAAAGACTCTGATAAGGATCAGAGAAAGTGTTATTTTTAAAAATGTCTGACTTTGTTGTATTATTAGTTGCTAACTATAGCAGCTTTGTCAGAATTTAGGTTACAAAAGTATCACTTTAGTATCATTTCTGAAAAATAGCAATTTTAGGTGAATTTTTGTGGTTATTCACAAGGGCTGGGGATTCTCTCAGTTCCATACCTTCAGAAATCTTCCTTTTCTAGTTAATACTATACTATTGAAAACTAATTCTTTTAAGCTAGAATTCTTTAAGAAAGCTTATTGTAAACAATAATTGAAAATTCTTTTAAGCTAGAATTCTTCAAGAAAGCTTATTGTAAACAATAATTGAAAAAAACCCCTTGCAACTATTTACAGTGATGACCAACTAAACGTCTAAACTTAGGAGTTAAAATCCTGACTCCCATATTACACTGAGCAAAAGAACATATTACATAGCTTGATTTCTACACCCAGAATTCAAAAAAAACCCAAGTAATTTGAAAGTAGGTCAGAGACAGGAGAGAACTGATGAATTCTTGAAGATTTTATCACATAACTATTTCTTAAATTATTCTCAAGCAAATCCATTGCATTTATTATTATTTCTTATGATATTGAGAGATCAGTTTTGGTGAATCTTCCTTTTATAGCTGAAGAGTTTATCTGCTATAGGCCATCATACTGTTGCCTTTGCTGCAGCAGTTGGAGTACAGGTCTGTATCTCAGTCATTATGTAATGCAAAAAACAGCTAAGTTTAAGTTGTAGATGACAGTGGATTTATTAAACAAAGCCACAAACGTAGGGAGTATCATTTATGTTTTTCAGTTAATACGATACCGGGGCAATAACCTCTGGCTGAGCTCATCTGCTGCTATCTTTAAGTATAGACCATCAAAATCTTTCAAAAGTTCAAAATAGAATAATTTGATTTTAATAAATGGAACATAATTCATTCAGTGTGCACTTAAAGCTTACCAGAGTAGATTTGATGCCAACACTTTCAGCTGCTTGAAAAGCCAAAGTAAAATTTCTTCTCTGCATGAGATACAAAAGCATGTTAGATTCCAAGGAAATACTACCTCAAGCATAATAAAGTGGTGTTAAGAAAGTTCACAGTAATGTTGCTACTTTTGCTTCAAATGGAGTCTATAACTTGACCATAGTAATTTAAAAAGAGCCATAAGAATGAACAAGTTCTAATATAATCCAAAAATTTTTATTATTTCATCATTTAGAAGATAATGCTGAAAAATCATTGTCAGTGAAGAATGACTGAATTATAAAATGCTAAAGAATAAACTAATTGTTCTTTTAAAAGCATAAACAAAAAAATCTCTTAATGTGTTAATTAAATATTCTTATAATTTTAGGAATTATCATTCATAATACATGTCCAGATAACATACTAGTAGGTATTAACTCTAGCACACTAGAATACATGCAGACTGCTCTGCAGTATTGACATCTTCTAGTTTACCTTTATTTGATACACATCACTTGAGAACTCGAGTATCACAGTCCTTTATCAGTATGAGAAAATAGGATGAAACAACATCCTTGTGATACCAGAAGAAATGAACCTAACACGTCAAGATGCAAATTTGATGGATTTAAGATCTTTAAGATTAAACACTCCTTGCTTCCAAAACCTGAACTGAAACCACTTCCCAGCTGTTTGGGTTAAATGTCTCAGACTTAAATTTATGACTTTCTGGTGTGTTTTTTTTTTTCTTCCTTATACCTGTTCCAAAGTTCTGTTTAATCCAGTGATCTCATACTATTAAAATGTTACACGTTTGTTCATTCTTCTTTATTAGCCCATATTAACTACATAGTCGCGCAGTTCTGGGAATGGGATTTTTAAGGCCTTACCTTGTCCTGGCTGTTCAGCTCTTGGTAGGGAATATGGGCTGGGAGGTAAGTATGGAGGACTGCACAGAAAGCCAAACCATCATTCCAGCTACTGCTGAAGTTTGTTATGTCTATATTCTTGAAAGGAAAAAAAAAGAAACAATATTAAAATCACAATCTAACAAGTATTAGTTCTACCAGTCCACCAATACTTGTGGGGGGTTTTGTGGTTTTGTTTTCTTCTTTTTTTAATACCTTTGAAAAAGAATCAGCAGAAAAAGCGAACAGCCTAATACTGAAGTTCTGTGGTAAGAAATCAAAATCCATGACAACAAAATTTAGCAATAAGAATATCAGTTATCTTGTATATTAATTACAGGTAATATTAAGTCTGTCCACCCCCCTACACTCTCCCTGCAACATGTGTGTGTGAAGGGTGCAAAATATTGTGCTAGAGAAGGCCATAGTATAGATTTGATACAACTGTACACACAAGATAGAAAAGCAAACGAGTTAGAGATGTGAATGCCTAAAATCCCTGAAACAGACCATGTGGTAGTCTCTCTGTTAATGTAACATTTTACTTTTTTGCTTCTACTTCATTAATGTACAGACTAAATTTCTAACTGATGAGGACAAATATTTTTATCTTCTAAACATAAAATTTCTACACAGAAACTTATGGTGACAAGATCACAAACAAAAATTAAGTTTCAGTTGGAAATAGATGTTCCAACAGATTTAACACTGACGTGGCAGGGAATCATTATCTTTGGGGCTGGAATTGAAATTGAAAAACGCATTCTTGCACTCTTGGTCTTTCAGTTCCAGCAGGAAACTCAGTGCCATTGGTAAATGCATCTCCTGAGACTGTATATATTATTGTAGAAAGTGTCAGTCCTGTCCAGAAGAGTTATGAACAAGATGCCTCAGTGACCTTTTAAATTACTGCATACTTGACTGTTGGCAGTCAAACAATGGTAAACAGCCTAAGTGGATAGCGGGCAGTTTAAACTTTAATTAAGCAACAGCCAGTGACAACAACCCACAGTTTATCTTTTAGACCTTTATGGAGAAATATAAATATGATTTAATATCTAACTCACTTAGCTGGGCTTAAGCAGAAGCTAACCAGCTCCCGGACTTAGTTTTTAAATTTTTCACGTATCAGGAACTGTAACCTCCAGTCAGAGTTGCAGAAACACAATGACAGAAGTCAAACTCTGACAGCAATTTAATAGTTATCACTTGTCTTTGACAAGACATGAAAACTTGTCACTCCTAAGGCAGAAAAATCCACTGGGAATCAGTGTGACTGTGTCACGCAGGCTGAGAACGAAGGCAGTTGTATTTCTTGTCAAACCAATGATTTGGAGGAGATTGCAGTTGTTTTCCATTTGTAATCCAAGAGAGGAAGAAAACAAAACTAAAGGCCATTTCTGGAAGAATGCGAGGGAAATCTCCATTTCCTGCTCAGCTTTAGCACTTTTTATACAAAGTCCACCAAAAGCAGGTTCAAGCTCTGGTGACGTCAGCGTACGTGCTGGGGCTCACAATGGCCAAGGCAGTGGTCTGAGCCTCGCCTGCCGTCCCGCTGCCGGCTCGCAGACGGAAACGGCATTGTTGGAGACCCCCAGTCTGTGGGAACATGTTCTTCACACAGCTTCCTCCAGCCACAGGGGTGGGAAAATTTAAAAGCAAAAGAAAAAAAAAATGAAAAAAAATGAGGCTCTCCCTCCTTTCCCCTCAAGAGAGGCAGGAAATTGGATTTAAATTAATGCTTGGTTAAAACTTTTTCAATGTTACTTAAGTTCGGCAAACAAATGCAACACACAGCACCAGGCTTTAAAGAAAAAAACAAAGGGAATAAATATCAGATTGTTTACATTTAAGTTAGGCAAACAAATGCGACACACAGCACCAGGCTTTAAAAGAAAAAAACAAAGGGAATAAATATCAGATTGTTTACAAAGTTACTTTTTGAAAAGTTTTTTCCCCCTACCCATAACCAGTAATGCCTCGCATCACATCTGGATCAATAAGATGGATAAAGGTAGGGAGAGAGGCTTTTTCTTGTCCCAGTCACCTGTGGCAAGCGAGTTATAAAAATAAATAGGACTGACCATGTTTCCTTTGCTACACAATCTACCGAGGGAGAAAAACTCAGTCCTTGGCTAAAATCCTCTCCCTTCCCCAGGATGGCCAAGTGAAATGGAAAGGGAAAGAGAAAGATGTGCATTGGCATTGTCACAGTTAAGTTAAACACAGACCTGCTCAGACATACATACATGCATTGAGCCAAACTATTTAAAAAAAAATAATCGTACTAATTAAAGCTACCGTAGTGCAATAGAAAATTTTTAACTCTCAGGAATACAAGGATAGATACGACACTCCTTATTCAAGTGAGGAGGATTATTGTAGTGTCACTGAACCTGATTAACAGTTTTTAACACATTAATCTCCAATCTAATGACTTAAGGCTGGGTATAGTTTCAACAAGTACCTGTTGCATGGGTGTTACTGCAGAACATGCTCTATCTACCAAAGACCAGGAGTCCATTAAAGCCAGTCACCAGTCACTGTACCAATAAAATGAAGTTTGGTACTATCTTGCCTCACCAAGCTTCCAATGTCTCTGCTCTCTCCCAGGTTGCTCTACATGTTTCGCAAGAAGCACAGCAATATTGATTTGAGCCTGAACACCAGCATCACTGAAGCATCAATGAGGTCTCAGTATTGAAAGAGGGATGGAAGGGTACAGAACCTTCAAAGTGAAAACAGCTGCCTCTGTTGGAAATGAGGGAGCACAGAGAAAGGAGAAGCAAACGATGCCATCCTGTTAAAGGACTCTGCTGGGATAGTTATCTCTGCACCAGTCAGGATGGGCATCAACAGGCAAGAACATGTTCATCAAGCTTAGAAAATAGGATGCTGCGGTGATGTGTATGAGAACATCTGAACCTACAAACCACAAGTTTGACCCTGTGGATGAAGGTGGCAGAGACTTGTGCTCAGAATACAGGGAGAAAGAAATTCCAAGATATCAAAGCACTCTGGATGCACTAGAAAACAGACCTATAGAACAACTGGGGCTGAAAACAGAACTCCTCACATGATTACAAAACCAGGAGGAGCGCTCACCGCCAAAATCTAGAGACATTTTTCATAGTTTTGTAAGCATGTTCCCTCACCCCAACATGTAAGCAAGAAAAAGAGGACACGGTTGTGCTGAAAACAGTAAATGGAACTAAAATAAGAGAAAGTCATCTTCCCTTAAATATTAGAGTTTTATAAACAAAAAATGTCACTTTAATTATTAGTAGCATCCACAGAATGTTGAATTTTCAACATAAACATTGGAAAAAAGGGCCACTTCAAAAGTTCACCTACAAGTTTGGTTGGTTCTCAAAAAGAACTTGGAATATCCTATTTTTGTAAATCTCCCTGTAGGGTCCAGCTTTCATTATCAAGACAACAAGCAGAAAACAAACCCATCATCCAAGAATTTTAATGTATCCAGAGAAGCTGAATTAAATACAACGGAAGGAAACAATTAAAAGGGACTGGTTTCTGTTTCCAATTGCTTTGAGCATTATGAATTATTATTATCTCTCAGACTAAAAAAGTATAATATTGGTCAGACACTAGAAAACAAATCTAGAGACCGGACAGATTGTCATTTAAACTGAAAATTTAATTTTTTATGTAGGGCTTTGAGCACATAACTGGCACATTTAAATTCAGCACAATTTTATTTCCCAAATGCTTTTAACTACTTGTGGTTTTTTGAAAAAGCTTGGTCAGTATAATGAAATCAATCTTGCATTAAGCTCTTATTTCTCAAAGAACTGACGGTAAACTGAACATCAGCCTAAAATCTCTGACATAATTTCTTATTTGTTACTGCTTTTATTAAGTAATTGGCTCTATTAAGAGAATTCTGCTGGAATCTAATCCGGAATTTTTCTTCAAGCCATTTCAGACCACAAAGTACTAAAGCAATTGAAGGACATACTTTCAGATAAATTGTCAAATGAAGAATAAGCCTTTCTAGAGGTTATTCTATTTCTATCTCTAGATAGAAATATCTCTATTTCTAGAGATAGGTGAACTACAAAGAGATTTATCAGTCCTTGTCTATAAAAGTTTAATACTTAGGATGTGAGTGAAGTCACCTCTAGTATTTAGGAGTGAATTTTTAAAAAGGCAATTCTAACAAAAGGAGTTAAGCAACAGGCTGTTGTCATAAAAAGATCTGTGAAAGATTATCCAACTAGGACTAAAAAACAGAGTTAAAAATTTGTAAGACTCTTCTAGAGACAGAATATAAGAATATAAAAAATTACATACTCAAACAGACCAAATTCTATAACCCATTCTACAGCCATGACAGAGAGGGGAAGATGGTAGGGGAACACGCTGCTGGATCCACAACTAAAAACCATTTCAAGCATGACTCAAGCTCCTATTAAACTGCAACATGTAGAGTATGAGCAGCTACTGCAAAATGAGTATTTCCTTGTGCTCACATAGGGGGAAAAAAAAAAAGAATAAGAAGATTCTTCGTGAAACAAGGTTCAAATGTAATAGGAACAAAACGATCCATCGGCTTACAATGAAATACAATAGTGGTTAAACAGTAAATGAACTGGATTTGAACAGGAAGCAGAAGTGCATCCTTGCAGTAAAGAAGGGTTCTGAGCTGCATCACTAAGAGCACAGCCAGCAGATTGAGGGCGGGATTCTTACACTGCGCTGGGCCCTTGCAGACTACACCTGGAATACTGTGCAGAGCCTGTGCAGAAGAGCCTGTCAGATGAAGAAAGGTTGAAGGAATTCGGTTTATTCAGCCAAAAGAACATTCAAGAGAGATGTAATCAGTCTTCCAATGCCTAAAAGGCATTTATAGGGAGGATGGAGGTACTCTCTTCACAAGGACACATGGTAACAGAACAAGACAAAACAGGCACAATTTCTTTCCATAGAAATTCTGTCTGGGTATAAAAAAAAAAAAGTCTTCACCATGAAAAAAATCAAGAATTGGAACAGGTTGCCAAGAGAAGTGAATGAATCTCCCTCACTAGAAACTTTCTAGACTGCTTAACAAGGCTGCCCATAACATCAATCTAAGGTCT